CACACACACACACACACACACACACACACACACACACACACTAACAAACAAGGGAAAGTGGGAAGTGGCCGTTCAACGGGGGGATTATCTTGGACAGGTGGTCGGTAAAGCAGGTACGACTGTATTCTATAAAGTTTATAGCGGAGGTTATAAAATAAACATAGTTGTCGATGCTACAACATCATGTAAAGGGCTGGGATTCGTTAAAAATATTCACAGTGTTTGTAAATTCCGTTTCTTTACCTTGAAACTGTGATCTAGATAATCATCAATGTCCAGCCTCTCCAGGTGGAAGAACTCGGCCACGCCATCGTGAAGGAAGTGGTCAAGAATGATCAATGTCACGCCCATCACAAAGGTTACACTTCCTGAAGAGATTAAGAGGGGGGTGAGAGCAGTTGTTTTTTAGTCCGAGCTATTTTTCGTAATCGTAACAGACTGACAACTAGAACGCCTTTTCTTTGTTTAGTAAGAGTTTTACGGCACTTGCAACGCAATTATTTGTATAAGTGCCGAAGATTAGAGGGGTTACAAGAGAGTAGCAAACACATAAATGGAGGAGAGATAAGGACGATATATATTTGATAAGAAAGAAAGAGCAAACCACACTAGAGCATCCACGAACCACACATTTGCTGAAAAGAAACTAAGTCAGGCAAACAAAAACAAAAGAAGTAAAAGATTATAGAAGAAGGACCTACCGAATGGCATCATGCAGAAGAGTTAACGCTCAGATGCTACTGGATCGCTAACAACAACAACAACAGAAGAAGGACCTACCACGATGCCCTCTTGTCACCCGCTGTAGCAGAAACAGTAATAGTAGGAGAGAAAACAATAAACAGAATACCAACGAGGACTACAGCGTTACAGCAACTGCAACGACAACAATAAGAGCAGAGACAACAACGCAAACATCAACATTTAAAAACAGAAACAAGGAAAGTTTAAAGTCATTATCATAATATTTTCGCAACTGTTTCTCTTCGGAACTTACCCGCGACAAGCGTCAACCAGTAACACCAGCCGTAACTGACGGTGAGTTCCACTCCGCTGAACGTAATCGCGAGCGGTTGGCCATTCTGACAAGAGTGGTAAGCCACACACGCCAAGATCATTGCCACACCCGTCAAAGCGAACATGTAGGCTCCATATATAACCACGCTGAACAGCAACACATTGCAGATCATCCAGAAAGCAAACGCAGTCCTGAGGAGCAGACAAAACAGGTTTGTTTGAGTTACATGGAGGCCCACTAAACGCAATAATGGTCTTTTAGTCAACGAGTAGACCAAACACACAGATTTTAAAAATTCAAAGGGATATTAAAGCAGCAGAAGATATTATCATCGGCCAGCTGTTCAGGCGTAAGAATAGGTCTGTCAAGTCTCTTTCAGATTGCTATAGGGTGATGCAAAACAGCAAGATCGTAACTGTTTTGGGTAAGCAATAAAGCACTGTAAACAGACAGGCAAATAGGCAGACAGGCAGACAAACAAACAGACAGACAGAGAATGAAGTATGTCGAAACACCTCTTGTTGGTATGCTGTGTGCCGATTGATACTGTCTCCAGGTGGTTTTGGGACAGGAGGGGGGGAGGGGGGGTTGTGATTGTATTCACTTTAAAACTTATAAACCAACATAGCACTGAGAATAGGCCAGGTACACATACCACAAAAGAACGCCTCCGTAGTGGCCAGCTGTATGGAAGGAGCGACCCCACCGCAAACCGCCCTCGTCCACCGTCAGGAACTCCATTACCTTGAGAATAGGCTCAGGCAGACCGCGTTGGAGGTAGTAGTCGAACCTTTCGGGTTCGTGCCCATCTGAGGAAAATTAGGAGAAAAAAAAATATGATGATTTAGCATTACAATTTTTCCCCCTCATATGGATCTATATTGTACTTTTCAAATTGTATAAGTCAATGTTTACAAGTGTTTGACTCTCCACTGACATACTTCTGTCATTTTATTGGTGTTGAAAAAAAGCAAGAATGAATAACATAACGTAGGTCAATTAATTGTTAAAAGACTATTATTATTGCTTGTTTTTTTCTCTCTCCTGAAAAAAGTTTGCTATCTGAGCGTAGTACATAATTTGAGCAACTTGCCGTTGATGGGTATTATTGTCAAAAAATCTTGTAATAATATACAACATTTATATAGCGCATTTCCCCCCAAAAAGTAGCTCGATGCGCTTTCATTGGAATACCCATTTTCAAAACATTTCGTACTACTTCCTTTCTTCTCATGCAATAATATAT